AAAATCTAAACAAATTATATTTTTTAATTTTAAAACACAAACAGTTATATTTCTAACTTTCTAATTTTTAAGTGTTGTACTAAATACAATAGTAACCTAATTTCTGCACATACAGGGTTTAAACATTTGGCCTCATAATTATCTCATTTTATACAACTCATTCAATCTTCACTTTTACTGACTAATATAACTTGTCAAGAAGATAAATGTAACTAAACATTTCTCAGAAAAGCAGTAGGTGAAGTTAAGTTTTCTTCATGTGTTTTTTAATGAACTCATAAAATAACATTTTTTACTTTTCACATATTCTGTTAAAGCTCTGTGAGACGGATTGATTTAGTCATGTCTGTCTATCTACAATATTTGGCTTTTACTCTGCAAATAGTCTTTCATTTGCTTAAACTATGAAAAATTGTTTGGACTTTCTAAGCAAAACTTATTGACCTCTGATTTTGGAAAATAATCCTGGTATGCTAAAGAATATGTATTGAAAATAAGTATTTATTTAAATATAAAAGAAGATATTCTGATAAAAGCACCGATAGATTATTTGATAGTCAGTATCAAAGTAAATTCATGGTCAATAAACTAGGCAAAAACGGAATGTCAGTTACTCGTATATTTAAGGTCCAATCTTTCTGAAGGATGTACATTCCTATTTCGTATAATTGACCACGTAAAATATAAACAAAATGCTATTTAAATGTTAAATTGAAGAAGTTACAAATGAATTAAAATTAATAAAAAATAATTTGAACTTTATTATAGTTTTTTACTGGGCATTGATAATATTATTATTATTTTATCCATACTAATATTATGTGTTTTAAGTTTTTATCTATTTTTTAGCTTTTTTAGTTATTTTTGCTGTGTGCCATTGACCTTATAAATCATATTTAGCATAACAGTAGAAACAATAGTCTCCCATTATTGTAAATTTTTCTTGTTAAATGATCAACAAACCCTTTGTACCTTACACTAAGAATATACAATCTTCATATTATATGCATATTATATGAAACAACTATTACAATTTGTATGAACTGATACCTAAAATACATATTTTTTGAAAACAATTTTTCAATAAAACTAGAGGTAAACATCTTTTCTCTTATGCCAGACAAATAGCGCAAATAAAACCATAGTAATTTGCAAGAGAATAGGGTTGTTAGGAGAATAGGGAATGTATTATATTGTAAGTGTAATATTACATTTGATTAGTTTACATTAGCGTCGTCGTAGACTTTCTAATTTGATAGCCAACACACAAGGTCGAAATGTCTCGTTGCGGTACCACATAATTCCAGTAGGATCCTTAAAAACGGCACAACATGAAATATTCCCCAGCTGATAATAATATATTGTTGTCATTGTGTAATCCCTTAGAAGAATGACATCCTCAAGGACCTCAAGATTGATCCAATCAAACAATACATAAAAGATAGAGCCCTGAAATTATTTGCGAAATCTGACAGACTTACCAACACCGCGTTATTAAATCTCAGAATGGTTACAGGCTCCTCGGGGAGTTATGCAGATCTGAGGTCAATTATTGCTTAGTCTGATTAAATGATAAACAATAATCCAGTCAAGTTGTAGAGAGGGATTTTGAAGAAACTTCGCAGTTAATAGAGAGTAAAAGTGCTCACAAGTGCACTGACTCAACTAGCTTCAACATAATAATAAAACGATCAGTGTATGTCAGATTGAAATTTAGAACCCATATATAATTATTACAGAGCTATATAGAATTGCTATCAGTGAATGCTCAATATACTGATGTGAAAGGTGTTAAAGCTTTAACAAAACCAAACCATTCCTTGCTATTCCGGAACAATTTACATTAAAAAAAACAATTTATTTTTTCTTCTGTCGTTGAGGAGAATGAACAATTTTATGGTATGCCATTTAAACATCAGGCAGAACCAAGCCCATAAAGATGCCATAAACTTGCAACTATTTTTCCATTATTTATGACATTTTAATATTTATTGACATGCTTCTCCCGTTAGGAAAATAAAGCTCCTTAACAATACACCGTTACACCGTGCTGCTCCCTTTGTTTCATACCGCATTCATGTCATTCCGTTGTATCTCAGTAACTGTTACCCGGTATATGAGTATTTGCAAAATGTATCTGTATATATATATATATGTATATACATTCTTCTCTTTAAACTTTAAGTATCATTTTATTGTGTGAGTTCTCTGCAAATTTCCCTGCACATAATGTAAAGGAAAATGACTCATGTTTTTTCAGGGTTTGTTGCACTTGATTTAGCTTTCCGCTTTTGAAAAGTAAATAACCTACATTTTCGCTTTTGATCACAAGTGGAAAATTTATGCTAAATATTAAAAATAATATTAAAAGCACTTGAAATACTCTATTTTAGTTTTTCATAATTTATAAAAAGACTATTTTTATTTGTGAATTTGACAAATTTACACACGTGGTTTGCATAAATCGAGTTCTTGCTCTTTTTACATTAGAATCGTCAATCAAGAAACCAAATTTAATTCTATACAGAACTTATCTTATAGTTGAAATACACATTTGGTTCCTTTTAATGTTCATAATTGTTATAATTATCAATTTCATATCACTTCAGTATCGAATTGTAATCTGCTTTTTTATAGCTTTTTCAACCGAGATAATAATACCAAGAATGCCCATTGAGTATATTTAGCTGCTCGTATTTAAACTTAATCTAATATACTCGTATATTTATTGACTCATTTAAATTTAATTTATTTATTAAATAAATAAATAAATTATAAATACGAAAAATATTTACCTTTACGATTTATTTCCGATTAACTCATAAAACTTTCCAAAGACTTTGGAACCCTGACAATTCTTCTTTTCTTTTGCCATTTCTTTTTTTTAAAGTTCAAATGACTTAATAACCTTACATGTGCCTTTATCTAACTTAACTATGATAGATAGAAATTAAGAATAAGCATAACAATAAAAAAAAATTAATTAAAATTAAATACAAATATACGCGTATATACATTATTGTATATATCAAATAATATTAAACGTTATCACCTGAAGGTCGTTCATCAAGTTACAAATATCCAAACGACTGGCAACTACAATACTTAAAAGGTGGATAAGTTGCGTGCCAAGTACTTTTGTGCTTAAATCGCAGCACATAAGAATAATGTATACATATATTATATTAACAAAGATACATACGTTAACGTTGAACTTGGCATATATATTCATTTCTATTAGGTCTTATACTATACACTTTATAATGTACAAGCATTATTTACGTAGCGTGCAGCTTTCATATGCAAGACATGCAAAAAATATTTATTTCAAAGCATGAAATTTATACAATCAACCGTACTAGCAACTCTGATTGTTATCTACAACTTTTCATCAAAATCAGGGTAAATATTGTATTAACTAGTTTAATTATATAACGCAAGTACACACTTCACTCAGATAAGATTTATAATTTCTTTGTATGGTTGATTCAGGTTTAATTCAGATTAAATTCCGTTTGTTTTGGTACTTCTTGATACTAGTGAAAATAAGTCCGAGTATTGTGGATGTGCAATTAAATAATAAAATAATATTTTAGAGGTATAAGGACAATGACTCCACAAATATATGAATCCTTTTCAATCAAGAATATGACAAGAAAAAGTAAAAAATTTAAAATTAAAAATGAACTAAAACTATATTACAGATATAGTTTTATTTATATATCTATATAAATAAATAACTATAACTATAAAAATATTTTTTATTCATATTTAATTACATGAATTTTTTTTCCAATACTTCAAATTTCATATTCAAGTGTAAGTTTTTGCAATAGAATCAGCTGATGTTTTGGCGAATTGAAAAAAAAAATATGATCAGACTTGAGTTACCGTATGTTTCAACTCTCTGTACCTAAATAGTC